AAATTATTCTGGAACTTTCCCATCCATTTGATATAAATACACGAATGTACATTATAAATTATTTAAATTAATCCCAGTGTGTTAAGAAAATCAAAACAAGATTTTTCTGAACGTTTCTCTGTGTAAGCCACAGCTTCTTCAGCAGATTTATTCGGATTTTTATTAATCATCAAAATATTTACTCAAAAATTTTTACATACATTAAAGTCAGTTTATCTGAAGGTCATTTGTCTATGGACATTTTTACCAATAGAAAATATGTAAGCAGTCATCACATATTTTTGTAATGACTAATGTCAAGATTGTATGGAGGATTTCATCATGAGCTGACATCAGTTAGAGAACCACTGGAAAACCTGGGAGTACTGGACAGCTGTTTCGTCCTAGTTTGGGACTCTTCAGCAGTACGCACCCACCGGGATTCGAACCCAGGACCTTCTGGTTACAAGGCGAGCTCGTAGACCATTGAGCCACTGGGACCCGATCCAATGGTCCTTGAATTCTAACTTCTGCCAATTCACGACATAGCGCGACCATTTCGCAATGTCTTCTTAGATGAGTTACTGTCACATCTTCAACCTGCTGTACCCTACTGGTCACGGCTCATGATGAAATCCTCCATACAATTAAACAAAATCCCTACCAAACCAATACTTGAAAATTAATCTGATGCTCACTAGTGACTGGCCCTATTCAGGCAGTTAACCTGGGGTTCTAGTGGGAAGCCGTGACCAGTAGGGTACAGCAGGTTGAAGATGTGACAGTAACTCATCTAAGAAGACATTGCGAAATGGTCGCGCTATGTCGTGAATTGGCAGAAGTTAGAATTCAAGGACCATTGGATCGGGTCCCAGTGGCTCAATGGTCTACGAGCTCTCCTTGTAACCAGAAGGTCCTGGGTTCGAATCCCGGTGGGTGCGTACTGCTGAAGAGTCCCAAACTAGGACGAAACAGCTGTCCAGTACTCCCAGGTTTTCCAGTGGTTCTCTAACTGATGTCAGCTCATGATGAAATCCTCCATACAATTAAACAAAATCCCTACCAAACCAATACTTGAAAATAATGTCAAGATGTTGTTGTGTTCACTCTTGTATAGTTAATTTGTATAGATTAGTTTTGTATGAGTGTGTGTGTGCATGTATGTTATTTGTCATATGGAAAATACGTGAATTCATATGTGATAAACCTGTTTTAAAAGGTCATGGAGGCTCATAGAGTGCTGATTGATTTTTCATTTGTCTTGCTTCATAAGAGTTTTCCATATAGGTGATAAGTCTATCCCATCCTTCCTATTCACTGCATTCGATGTGGTTAAGATGTGCAAGGCTTCAGAAGTCAATCTTTCCTTATGTGAATGAAATCCTCTTCCAAGAATTTCGACATGGTCGAAATCAATTTTATGTCCACTGTCTATTGCATGCATTGCTATAGCCAATCATTTTTCTAGACTTTTTAGTTCTACTTCATTTCTAGGTGGACGTTTCGTGCATAGTCTATGTTCATTCACTCTGACCTTCACCTGCCTACTGCTCTCCCCTATATAGCACGCATCACATTCTGAACACATTATCTTGTAGACACAATTACTTTGTGACATTTTGGGAACTATATCTTTGACATGCAGCAGCGCTTTCTCCAGAGAATTAGAAGGTTTGACATAGATTTTAATATTATATGAGGCAAATGGTCTTTGAAGTTGTTCAGCTGTGTCCTTTTGGTATGGGATAGCCAGGATTTTTCAATTTTTGGTTTTCCCTTATGCCCCTTTCTATTGAGATAATATTATCTAGTAGCTTTTCAGGATAACCATTTCCAATCAAAATCTGTTTTATGTTGGATATCTCGTTCTCCATATCGTCGTTATCTGTTATAATGTTTCTAGCTCTGTTAACGAGATTTAAAGCTACTGAAACGTTCATTCCTATTGGATGATCTGATTGAAAATTCAAATACTTGTTGGAATGTGTCGGCTTTCTGTATATGGTAAACTTTAGTTTCTCGTCAGTTTGTCTTTTTACAAGACTATCAATAATTGTCTACTTACTTATACTTTCTATCTATAATTCGAAGTCATTGTAAAAAGAAGTATGTTCAGACACCATTTTGTAACTTGTAATTGATTTATTTACGATGTATGAAGTTGAAGAGCTCGCAATATCCTGTCTGCAAATATGTTCATTCTTTCTTTATTCAAACAAGTTAAAACGACACTACGTCCGAGAAAAATGAGTCAGAGAGTGAACAATCTCCTGAAGATTAATCATGGTGTTTAGAATTTCGAAGATGACAAACATTTAACGATTTGAGACATATCACCAGATCTCCAACCATGCTAAGAACCTCAGTAAAGCGGCCTACATGCCCGCTCCCCTCCCCCTCTCCGTTCTATACACCACAGCGGTAGCCTGCCTACACAACTTGAGCTACCAAACACTTACATCCATCTCTCTATTCCATACATTTTCCTCTCGTTTGGTTTATTCTAATCGATTAATGTATGACCTATGCTGCTTCTGATTCGGAAGTTCCTACTAAGCATGACGATAGGCCTGATCACATGAGATAACTGCTAGTCAGTTATGTTCTTGGATCTCAGAATGCACTTCTGAATGTTGTGTTCAAAAGATAAGATCGAAGAGGAATTCGTAGTTATCGGAAAGAACCTTATCGAAAACGGATACCCTAGGAAGTTCACATCAAAATACGGGAAGGAATAACCACCTAAACTGAAACTTGAAATAGTTGAAAAGACATCAGTTTTTATCTGTCTAGCGTACAAAGACAAAGAAGTGTCCGTAAGAACGGAAAATTGAATTAAAGGTGTACTGAAAAGAATATTTCCCGCCACTGAACTCATTCCACTTTACAATACAGTATGCTGGTTAACCCAGTCAAGTATCCTGCTGTGCATGACAACTCCAACTGCATTTATCAATTCACTTGTACGTGCGGCACGGGACAGACAGTGGAAATTAATCAGGCTTTCAAAATAATCTGTCAGTACAGAAAGAAAAGAAAAGCGTGGTTACTTCGCTTCACAGATGCCATTGCCATCATCAAAATACTTCGACCAAACCTGTACATACAGAAAGAGAGTGTGACCAGTCGCTGACTAGCCTGGTAACCGTTATTGTTTTGTTCGTGTGACTTTGGGTTTTTTTTTGTTGCGTACATAACATTCCACTCAATCTTGATTTTGATTTTCACTTGCTGACAGAGTTGAACTCACTATTTAGGTTGCAAATCTATTAAATTAAATTATTTTATCTATTTTACTTCACTATTCACCCCCACACTCCTGAACTTCATACCATAATATTTAGAAATTAATTCTACTGTTCTGTCTTGTATTTTGTCTGTAGTCCATCCTTGTTTTCAAACGTAATCTGAACTCTACGCCACCTCCTTGTCTAATTACTATATAAATAGTTATTCCCTTTTAACACTGAGCAATTCGTCTACTTACTTCATCTTTGGAATTATATTGGTTATGTCTACACTTTCTATGTATAACTTGAAGTCATGGTAAAAAGAAGTATGTTCAGACACCAAATTTGTAGCATCTAGTTGATCTCTTTCGGATGTACTCAGTTGAAGAGGGAGAATCCACAACAAAATAAAACGAGCTGGTGTATTCCTATCTGCAAATATGTCGGTGGCACAGTGGTTAGGACTCTCGCCGACCATGCACATGGTCCGAGGTTCGATCCCCTGCCGACGCACACCCGATATCTATGGTCGGCCTGCAAAATTTGGGCTACTGAAAATACGGTGTGGCATCAAGCTGTAACCAAAATAAAAATAAATAAATAAATTTATTCAAACAAGTTAAAACGACTCAATGATCGATAAAAATGAGTCAAATAGTGGAGATTAATCGATGATGACAAACATTTAACGATTTGAGACATATCACCACATCTCGAACCATGCCAAGAACTTCAGTAAAGCGACCTACATGTCCCTACTCACGTTCCATATATGACAGCGGCGGCCTGGTTAAAACTCGGGCTGCCGAAAACCTCCATCTCTCTATTGCACATATATTTTCTCTCGTTCGATTTGTTTTAATCGATTAAGATATGACCAAAAATGCTTCTAATTCGTAAGTTCCTACTAAACTTGAGGAAAGGTCTGATTTTGATTGGCAACGTGTTCCAATACTTGAGATAACTGTCCTTCAGTTATGTCCTTGGGTCTCAGAATGTACTTCTGAACATCTTACAATTGGCTCTCAACCAGATATTGTGGGCTTCTTGAAGGAGACAAAGCAGAAATATCATAATGGAATGGTTTGTGCTTCAGCTCAGAGAGAATTGTGTCACAGGATATACTACTGTCAATTAATATTTCACTTGAAGATATTGTACGAAGGGAAAATATCATGCAATAAACTCCTCTGAAAATTCTGTACGTTTTGTATATACTGTCCTGAATAAAGATGTCACCATTACTATTATTATCATGATTATATTATAGTCTTTTTTTCCCTTCACGTTCCCCAGTGGAACATAGGGCTTCAAGCTAGTTGGGGCTTGAAGTTTCTTTAGCAGTGATTATTTTACACGATGGGGTTGCTACTGGTTTCATGCTCCACCTTCCCTCTTTACCAGCATTATTTCTGGCTCAGCGAGGTAAAGGATTGCGTCGGCCGGGGATCGAACCCCGGACCATGTGCGTGGTCGGCGAGCGTCCTAACCGCTATACCACCGACGCATGTTATAGTCTGATGAAACCTAAATATCTTCCGTTCTAATCATACCACAGTCAACCACACTGTCAATCGAGAAAGGCAAAATGGCTCAAGTAAGCATAGCACGCCCACACATACACACACATGCCCCCTATAATCACCATAATCAATAACGATCCACTAAAAAAAACGCCATTTCAACCTTTCACACTGAATGCAAAGACCCAAAAGCAAAAAAGGAGAACAAGAACACACCACCGTGTGTGATTAAAATTAGTGTTACTTTACAAACAAAAAAAGGTACGTTACAGTACAGAATAAATACACAAGGTAAAGTATTCACTTGTTGTATTTCACATCACAGTACATTGGTATATTTACATATACACGGGGAGATAGAGAGAGATAGAAAGGGAGGGAGAACTGAAAACATTGACAAGTGTTCACCACCTACTTATGTGTATATATGTAAAGTTAAGTTTCAAAGTCTTTGTGGATGTCAGTGAATGCTGCCGCTGCTGCTCCTCCTTCTAATAGTTCTAGTAGAAGCCGGTAGGCAATAACAAACAAAACACCGGACAATTTGTTTTGATCAGAGAATTTACAATGTTTAACCACCACCACCACCACGATGACCACCGCCACGACCTGCTTACACAGTTTTCTCATTACCTTCCTTTTACGTTAGTCATCTTTTTAGAGTGGAGGAGATACAGATGATGAGGTGATGATGATGCCGAACAGAAATACTGAATTTATTGCTGCCTAGAACAAGAATTACCCCCTTACGGTTTACAAATATATACCAACCAGGAATGATGAATAACACTCATTTAACTTGGACAAATTATACACAGATACATATATAGATGGATAGATACATAACTGAAATAAAAGTAGATAAATTAATTTTGAAAATAATAATAATAAGAGTATTTCTTGTCGAGATTATCACACTTCTGATAATAAGTCGAGGAAGTCGGCGCAATCGACTTAGGGATGATGAGGAGGAGGAGAATGACAGTCACTACTCTTTATGAATTTTTGCACTGGGTTTACTCCGCCAACTGATCAGACGAAATAAAATGTAGATATTACACACAAAATAGTTTAATGAAGCGATCCATACCAGCAACCAGACAATACGATTTAAAAATATGCCTTTCAATGTACACATTTCCAGGCTATAAGCAGACGCCAGCCATAGAGCTTGTGAGCCGAACCAGATGAATAAATGTTGTACTATAGCACGATAAGGTGTAATTTCTTTTGGTAAATGTATATCTGCTAAAGCGATTGGTAGTAGACACAGACTCCATAAAAAGTACTGAGAAGTACAGACCTGCAGGGGGAGGAGAAGAAGAAGAGAAGGAGGAGACATCATGGAACAATAAAAATTAATGCTTGATGAAAAAGCTGTCACACCTTGTGTTCTCAACGTTATTTTAGTTACCTTTTTATATACGCAAAAAGACAAACCCAATCGATTATGTGTCTTTCATCATTGGGTTAATTTCCCCAGTCATAACACCTTTTTGAAGAAAAAAGGAAAATTTGAGCAAACAATATTCTTTTCGATAATTTTCTCTTCCGGCTGTACAGTTATATATATACACACAGAACATCCTAGAATATTCGGCTTAATGAAGAGCTTAATATTATCAAACAGTTGCTGAGTGGGAAGGGTTATCCAAGAAAACTCATCGATAAGAATATGAATGAGAAGTTAAGGCAGGCCAAAGTACCAACAGTTCCGCAAAGGGCCTCCTTCTTACTATTTCAGTTCCTCGGGAATAAAATCAGTGAGATATTAACACAACGTCTAAGGAATACGGCGGTAAAAGGAGCATTCAGTGCTGATGAAGTATGCTGTGCATTCAAAACCACCCCTAGCTATTTTGCGTTCGGCAGTTAAAGGTAAACTACCTAATTTCGCCTCTTCCATGCGTATCTATCAGTTTGACCTACAATAAAGCGTATTTATCATTGGATTTCCGAATACCATCCTGCGTAGTTAAGTGAAGGACAAACAAGTTCCATTCATACCGCTATTTCATCTCATCTTGTGGATACAGACCACAAGACTGATGTTAACGAGGCCGCTTTCAAAGTCATCACCAACCAATTAAGCTTAATTTCAACTCAACAGTTCGTCTATTACATATTGCTGAGGCTGGTTGTTAGAATCTATCTACTTTAAGAAGCCTAATGTATGCATTCAACAGAAATTGCTCCAGATGCCTTCTCTACCCCGCTGACCGACCATCAAGGCATTACTGATCCTTAGTTTGTTGTAGAGATATCCTGAATTATAATTGATATTCCATTTACTATTACATTTTTATGCTTATAATTGTTGTTATAACTTATGCATCTTTCTTCGACTGTGGTAATTCCATTTCGACCTTAATAAATCGATAGTAATTAGACAAAAACACACCAATATTGTTAACCACGATTATTCTAGAATATTCTGTGTATATAAAAATATAAATTTGTATAATTGTAGAGCCAGAAGAGGAAACTATCGACGAGAATATTCTTTGCTCGAATTCTCTTTCTTTTCTTCTTGAATGTCTGAATGAATATTTTCCAAGTATGTTTATAAATTTGTGTTGATCGGAATATTTATGACCGGCTTTTTTATTACAACAATTAGACAGGTGGTTATAGCAAGCAGGAAAAGCTTTAAAACATGAGACAACATTTCATGAATGGTCACGCAACATAAAAAATCCTCAGGTTTGCTGAAGCTATAGCAAAAAAAAAAAGATTGAAGCCTGACTTATGTTTCCAAAAAGAATCCATTGTTGGGTTTCAATTACCCTGATGACTCACTTCTTAGTAACTCTTTGTTTTCTAATTTTGTTAACTTATCTTTTCACGCCCCCCCACCCTTTATTTTTCGCTTGACTCTCTTAAGAAATAATTTTTCTTGATCTTCTGAGTTCTGCTCACTGTATTACATCATCAACTTCTCATCTGACCTCAAGTGAACTGAAATTTTGATCTTTTCTTATCTAATCACGTAACTATTACTAATTTTATTTTGTTACCACTCCAACAATACAACTGCTAATTAATTTTTTTTCAAGAAACTTCTCCCTAACAAGAAACATATATATATATGTCGTTGTTAAAATAGTACACTTTTTATTTTATTAAAGAATTCAGGTTGTACACAGTTGATGAGAACCGACGAAATAAAATGGATCCAGATTATTCTGTGCGCCAATGTTTCTTCTTTCTTTGTTCAAATTTAAAAATGAGGAGTTTGCTATAATCAGTGATCCCATCAGATGATCACCACTTTCACTCTGTACAGTATTAGGCAAACTAACTGCAAATAAATGTCTGATGCACTTCATAAAGAACATCAGGAACTTTGTACAATAGCTCACCAGTTCCAGTTGTCATACTTCATAAAGGTATACAAAAGAAAATACAATGTACCAGGAGAAAGACCTACTATACGAAGAATACAGGGGATGGGATGAATCTGCAATACCAAAGAGAAGTAAACACAATTGTACCATGCTACTGAGGACTCCAGGAAGACAGTCCACATCTCTTTACGTGGCTGAAGACAAAGACTTTGTGGAATGATGACGTGTTTTCTTCCCACCACTGACCTTCAACTCTTTTCCAATTTAATCCTATATAAGCTAACAAAGCACATCGAAGAAGGCAGTGAGTCGTTCAGCGTGAAGAAACACGTTACACCCTTCACATACAATGGTCGACTGACTTTCCCGTCCTTACTTAGAACTACGCCCGAATTCAATGTATATATTAGTCACCAAAATTTTAAACCACCTAACAGAAGAAAATCGATACAGATACCAATGGTAAAGATGACTATTTTCCTCATGTCTTCCCGCGTTTCTTATTCTTCATAAGAAATGTCAGCATGTATCATTCGCTAATATGACTAACTGGTTTCAACGTTAAACCTCGGACAGTGTTAAGTCTGACTAGATTCAACATAGAACTTGACACCGAAGTGCAGCAGTTCGAGTTGCCACGTTCCAAAGAGCACACAAAGGTAGACAAGAAAATGAGTCAAGAGGATCAATAGAGTTTTGACAAGTATAAGAGTGGAACAGAATGAGTAATGGTAGAAAGGAATATGAGAGATTACAGAGACTGAATCCATCTGCGTAAGCCATTGACAACGATTTTGAGCCATGTCACCTATTGTTTCCAGCCATTGATTCTTAGAGTCCCGAGGACCCCAACCCGGAAGTCTGCATCTCCCTACCTGACTCAGTTTAACTGTTAAGGATTTCATGGACTGATGAGGCCATGTTTTTGTTTGGCCACCACTTACTCTTTTCCAACCTGCACCTATATCAGCTAGTAATGCCCGTCCGTCGGGGGAGGCGATGGTTAGGCATGCGCAGCACGTGACCTAGCCATCTCAATCTATGTAACTTTATAGCCTCTTCGAGTGATTTTCCCTCTTTGCCCAACACTCTACGCCTAACGTCAACATTACTTACCATATTATACCACCTAACGTGAGAAAGAGATCGTAGACATCTATGATCAAAAACAGACAACCTTTGTATGTCTTCAACTCGTATTGGCCATGTTTCAGAGCCATAGAGAAGGACGGAGCGAACTGCTGGGACGTGT